TTTCCAAACAGGCCCCTCAGCCAGGTATTCCAAATGATGCCCTCACCCTCGGCAGCGTGCCACGCAACCACAGCGGTGAGCCCAATGTAGCCAAGCCAGCTCCGCCACGGCCAACCATGTAAGGCCACCTTGACGAATTCATAGTCAAGTTCGGATGGAGACACAGCGAATATGGGAGGAGACGGATTGCTGGGAAAGTAGCGATGCGTCATGAAGTGTATGGCCGTGAAGATCATGGCACTGTAGCCAGTAAGACTGAGCACACTCGTCAAGCGCCGCGCAGGCCGCGGAGACAAGTAACGCTTAGCGATGCTCGCCATGGGGTGCACGATGAGTGGGGCTATGAGGAGGAATTTCTCGCCGAATGGCGTCTGGTAGTACTCTCTACCTAAAAGCTGTCGCGGGTCGTTTCAACAGATGATATATAGAATTACTAGAGAAGGACGCACCATGACTCGCGAAGACAGTGAAGACCCGCCCAAATTCGCGAGAATAGGTGCAGACAGGTGAATGAATACGAAAGTTGTGATAAATGGTGCCGAGCCATGGGACACTTTAGTGAGTATCCGCTGGAGGGTGGTCCGCCACGTCGAGGACGGTGAGCCGTTCCTTTCTTGATCAGACATATTCTCCTGTGCTTGTTGTTTGTGAGACTCTGGTACGTCTCAGGAGGAGGGGAGATGGCGAGCCTGAAAGGGTGCGTCTACTATGTAGTACTTAGTGGGACACTCTGAGCGAGCGCTCTCAAAGCCGCGAAGACGCGTCCTCCCTCGCTAAGTACCAGCAGCCGCCGACCGTGATGTCGCCCCAAGCACATCGGGTCCCAATCGTATGTGTACGAGCGGGTTGTCGAGTGACCGTCGCATCACTCAACAGTCGTGTGACAGTCATTCATTGCTAGTAAGCATGACCACCAAATACATTAGTCTCCACAACTACTAGACTTGGCGGAACAACCCGCAAAAGTGCTTTCTCAGAAGCAATATATGTCTACGGAATGTAGTTGTATGCGCAGGCGCGAGCGCAAACCGAACTTCACCGATCGCTAGTTTAACTCTTATGACCCCACCACCAGTTGGCGGTAGGTAGTAAGTGTGGTCAATGGCGCAATGAAGGTGAATGCACTCTTCCGGATGTTACGCATGTCTTCGCAGGAGCCGGATGCCACAATACAGGCCCCTTCATACACGAATCCTGTCAGTCTGCTGAGTCGATAAGAACAAACAAAACAAATAAGACGTACAGAGATGTTATATTAGCACGTCGATGTCCATTCCTGTCCTCACAGTTATTGGCCCTTTATCGACATTCTTGCCTTACGGTTTGATCACTTGATGGTTGCTACTAGGCGCTCCAATGACGGCCTCCGCCAGCCTCCCTTTGCCTTTCCCCTTCCCTTTGCCTTTGCCCTTTCCATGCTTGACGATGTCGTCGATACCATCTCCTATTCGGAGCACAACACTGACGGTCGATTTCCCCCGCGTCCTGTACGTGATATCCTCGTCATCATCCTCAGGGACTAACTCATCTTGCACCTCCATGGTTCCGGTGAGGATCTCAGTATGGACCTCGTCTGGAGAATAGGGCAGGATCGGAGGCAGAGACACCGTTAGCTGCATAAGATGTGGAATTGCTGCCCCCATAGCACTCATATGCAAAGTCTTATATCTATGTGCAAAGTGCCCTCATGAGCAACTTGGGATGAATACTTGGACAATCGGACGCACCCTTCACCCACGACTTCCTTGCACCGGCGAAGGTACGCGCCCAGTGGCGTCTTGCGCGTAACACAGATGTAGTTTTTGCCCTCCGTGTGTGCTGAGCGTGGGCCTGTCGCTGAGACAGACTTTGGCACGGTTGGAAAAGGTCGTGGAGGGACTAGTTTTCTGATTCTATGCGAAGGCTTTGCAGGTGGTGAGGGCCGAGGCGCTACTAATGGACCGCTGGCTGTGCCCGCCGCAGGTTCTTCATTCTTTGCCTCATCTTCAGAGTCACTTTGACAACTATCCGCCCGTTCCGGTACTGCCACGAGCTCGTGGTGAGGCTTACTCGTTGTCGCCTCACCACCAACAGGTGGTGTGAGGCTCGCTGCAGGAGAGTCACTTGAATTGTCATGTCTCTCGACTTCGGTTCTAGGTCTCTTGGGCTCTGTGACATCGTCCTGGTCGTCCAGCTTGCGCTTTTGATTCAGACATGACATTGAGCGGCTGATGAAGATGGGTGCTGTGTTAGTAGTTGAAGGATTAAGGCGGAATTATGGGACATTTAGAGCAATAACCCACGATAACTTATAGAATTCGTGCGAATAAGCTATTTCTGATGCCTTATCAGATCCATCGGAAACCCGGCGATGAGATGCTGCACTTGATAAAAATTTGCCCGTCAGGCAGACTTGCATCCGTCCTGCCTCTGGGTCCCCACCCACTCTCACCATCCATCCTCCACTCTGACTTGTTGCTTGTGACATATCTTTTGATTACAGCGCGGACTGTTGAATTCGCCCAAAATGAGTCAGGATCCGGCTGAGCAGAACATCCAGATGTGGAAGGTCAAGAAGCTCATCAAGAGCCTTGACTCTGCCAGGGGGTCTGTCGACTCGCACAGATCTCCCGGAGGGTTTACTGACCTCGTTCCATCAGCGCTGGCACTTCCATGATCAGTCTCATTATTCCCCCGAAGGTACGTGCGATGTTCTGCGATGTCGACACGATCGTTTGACATCGAGTCTCTAGGACCAAATTTCGCGGGTGAATGCAATGTTGACACAAGAATATGGTACGGCGTCGAACATCAAGTCTCGTGTAAATCGCTTGTCTGTGCTGGCTGCCATCACCAGTACCCAGCAGCGTCTCAAGTTGTACAATCGTGTACCGCCTAATGGCCTTGTGCTCTTCGTGGGGACGATCTTGACCGACGAAGGCAAAGAAAAAAAGGTATCCTTCGATTTTGAGCCCCACAAGCCTATCAATACGTGCGTCTATGTTCCTTGCCTTGTATATATGTGCCTCAGCTTTTCTTCAGGTCTTTGTATTTGTGTGACAACAAGTTTCACACCGAGGCGCTCCAGGAGCTACTCGAGTCCGACTCAAAATTCGGCTTTATCGTCATGGATGGAAATGGCACATTGTTTGGTACTGTAGCCGGCAACACGCGTGAGGTCATCCACAAGTTCACCGTTGATCTTCCGAAGAAGCACGGCCGTGGTGGTCAATCTGCCCTGCGTTTTGCCCGTCTGCGTGACGAAAAACGGCACAACTATGTGCGGAAAGTCGCCGAGCTTGCCGTGCAACACTACATCACGAACGACAAGGTCAATGTGACGGGGCTGGTGCTAGCCGGAAGTGCGGATTTCAAAACCGAATTGAGCCAGAGTGACATGTTTGATGGGAGATTGGCCGCGAAAGTTATCAAGGTGGTTGATGTCAGCTATGGTGGAGAGAACGGCTTCAACCAGGTGTGTACGTCTTTGACGGTTTTGGTAGTCGCATCTGACTCCCATTGCGAAGGCGATTGAATTGGCTGCAGAGTCGCTTGCAAATGTAAAGTTTGTGCAGGAGAAGAGGCTTATCCAGAAATACTTCGACGAGATCAGCCAAGATACTGGCAAGTACTGTTTTGGTATCGACGACACGCTCAAAGCCCTGGAACTTGGTGCCGTGGAGACGCTCATCGTCTGGGAGAACTTGGACATTACGCGATATGCGCTCCGCAATGCCGCCGGTGGTAAGTATCCAGCATCTGAAGACTGGCCAATTCCTGACGTACTGCAGAGGAGATTGTTGTCCATGTCAACAAGGAACAAGAGAAGGACCGCGAAAAGTTCACGGACAAGTCCACCGGCACGGAGATGGAGCAGGTTGTTGAGCCACAGTCGCTCCTCGAGTGGTTCGCGGAGAAGTACAAAGACTTTGGCGCGAACCTGGAATTTGTTACCAACCGCTCTCAGGAGGGTGCGCAGTTCGTGAAGGGCTTCGGTGGGATTGGTGGGCTGCTGCGGTATAAGGTCGACTTCACGAACCTCGCAAGCGTCGACGACGAGGACGAAGACGAGTTCATGAGCGACGAAGATGTTATCTGACTGATGTGGCGGCTCCTGTTAGGAGCCTTGCCTGGCTTGGGCACGCCGGGTGGGGCGGAGGGAAGGTGGGAGAGAGCACGACAAGGCGCAGGCGGCGAGAAAGCGGATGTCAGGCCCCGCGACCGAGATGTGGTCCTGAATGAGGTGGTCGGTTTGGAAGTTGTGGAGATGGGTGACTTGAGGTCAAGTCTGTTCGCAGAGATTTAGAAACGGCGGAAGCACTTTCGAAAGGTACGTTTTTGCTCCGGTTTATAAAGTGTGGTGCTGACCACGGCTCAGGTTTTTACGAATGCCAGAGCCCTGTACTTGTTCACTCGTGTCATTGCTGTTATTGCTGTCGTCGCTTAATGCCTGTATCCTGTATCGCTCGTTATGACCGTTGACCTATCAGTAATGCATGAGTTGACAGCGATGTGGCATCGCGATTGCATCGTCGCTGTCGGCGCATTTTCTACTTCGAGTATCTGCAAGCATGAGAAACATCGAAATGAAGGGCTCCGGCATTGTTGAATCCCATTGCTGCTACCACAAGTAGTTCTACAGTAACTATACATTTTTCAAGTTCTTCAGAACCGTCTCATATATCAAAGTCTGAATCTGAATCGTCCTCTACTTTGGCAGTCCTGATATTCTTTGACGTCTTGCCGTTTGTCCTAGTCGCAGCGGAGCGCATCTTTGATGAGGGCTCGTCATCCGACTCCTCTTCCTCTGAGCTGTCGCTTCCCCGGCGACGGTCGTCTTTGGGCGGCGCGCGCATCTGCGGTACGATCGCGCCAGCTAGTATCAGCACAGCTTCCAGCTCTGCGAATTCACCAGCTTGTGAACTCGGTAAAAGGCAGCATAGTTCCAATATGCGCACCTTCGATACGGCGCTCGCGATCGCCGCCCCATGCAACGATCTGGTTCAAGACCTCGCCGTTGCGGTATACGATGAACATCGGGATCCTGACGTCGGGGAGGTTGGGGATACATTTGTCTCCTACGATTGAGACGAACTTCGTGTCAGGATGGCGCTGTGCGAGGATCTGTACGTGCTCGAATGCGCGGTTGCTGCGGGGAATACTGTAAAATGGGCAGCGTTAGGAGTGTAGTCGTAGGTCGATGCACGATGGGAGCGTACCCGTCTTTGTACAGGAAGCATACCACGCCAGTACCATGCTCTGCCGGCTTGCCCTGCTCGGTGGTCCTGCTCGCCTCGGTGACCTCTCTGGTATAGTCGTCCCGTCCGATGGGGTACACTCGCCCGAACCGCGCCTTTTGCTGCCGTTGCAGCTCCGCGATACGCTGTCGCCGAATGCGCTCGATCATACGCTCCGTCTCGTCATCTGCAGCATCCTCGCCGAGATCCCTTAGCTCATCGGGAGTGAGATCGTCTAGTGTCTCTTCGAGCGTCGGCGAGGGTGGCGGAGAAGGTGTACGCGCGGCAGGCTCGCGCGGGGGGAGGATGCCGTGTTTGCGGAGGGCATCGTTGCTGAAAAAAGTGTTGGGTATGTGCAAGGGATAGGCGGGACTTGCTTACAATTCTGTGTCCTCGTTCGGGTTGACGGCCATGGTGGTCGACGGTGAGCTCTTGGGGCTGCGGGAGGCGGGCCGACGCTCCGCTCGCAGTCAGGCGCTATGTTGTAGGCGCCAACACGAGTCTGACTGGAACTTACACTATCCTCGCGTTTTTACACCGAGAAGTCACTTTGTTTGATGCTCGATGCATTTCGTTTCTTTTCCATCTGCATAAAACTTCAAGTTGAAGCACGCAGGGTTCAGGAGGAACCAGAAGTGATACGCATGACCACTGCGGCCTGGCTGCATGGGACTTTGATTCGAAAATCTGGGTCTGGGTGAGGAAGATGGATGTACACTGACGTTTCAATGTGTCTTGAGACCAGGTAACGTGCTCATGAATATTCGCTTCCGCTGGGCATTGTTCAGAGTCTAGATGCAGCTGCTAATATAATGTAAAACTACTTTGTCTCTTTTGACAGCGTAGGCCCGTATACAGCCGGAACGATGAAGGAGAATACCGTACGCTCAATCACAGGGAAGAAGTCCATTGGCTGCCCTTAAGGTGTCGAAGATCGGAGTGGTTGATGTGTCCCAGCTCTCCGACTATCTCGTATCTCTGCGCGGCCAAGATGCGGGTAGCAAGGGAAATCCTGGGTTCCCCATTGAGTTTCGACCGAGGAGATGCGCCCTTGTCTATGCCCAGGCGGTGGCCGCTGTCAACGGTGCCGGCAGTAACGACCAGGGAGAGCAAGTCCGGGGCGAGCCCGAAAGACCCGGAGAGGGCTGTCCGTTTGGGAGTTCGCAAAGGCGTGGTGGGTTTGTTTCATGAAGTGGGCTGCACAGGTTGTATCCCACTCCCGTTGAGTTGTGGCCATACTCGTCCGTCTCTCGTGTGCTGATGTACCGCCAGCTTGAACATCGAGCCAGTGGTAATCTAATGTACGGCTTGGTGGCGCGTGTGCGTGTCGCGGAGATCTGATCGTATTCTGGCGCCTTCGGCTGTCCGGGAAACCGGACTGCAGCTGCACACAATCTCGTGCATTGTCCTTTCGATGGGATTGCTCCTCCCTACGCCTGCAATCATTGATGCGCTCGTACGCTGCTTCTCCTCCACACAGCACTCGGCGCTCGGTGTTCCTTCGGTATCCTGCGCGCCCGGCCCCTAGTCATGCGCATTGACTTTACTAGCAGGAACTCTGCGGCCCACCCCTCGAGGCGGCGCTTTATCTCCTGTCGCTTCGCTATAAAAGCCCCTCGATCCATCCCTATTGACCTCAACAGCATTTGAATCCAGTTTCATCCCAGTATCTCTTGCAGCTATGTCTACTCAAATTCCGTGCCCTCCGCTGGTCCCCTTCCTCGGTCATGTCACCGCTATAGAGAAGGAGGTCCCGCTCCGTTCTCTCAACCTTCTCGCTCGTCAGTACGGCGAGATTTATGAGCTTCGTATTTTTTGTAAGTTCCTCTGCATATATGCGGTTACTCAATGGTTGAGTTCGTCGTTAGCAAGGAAGTCGGTAGTTGTCAGCTCTTACGACCTCGTAAGCGAGGTCTCCGACGACAAAAGGTTCTTCAAAGCTGTCTCAGGTGGTCTCGCCGAGGTCCGTAACGGCGTGAAGGACGGCCTTTTCACAGTAAGCGCTGCTTTGTCGACCGACTGTATCAGGGGCTAAGTGCATGTGCAGGCATATCACGATGAAGAAAACTGGGGATTGGCTCGTATGTATATTATCGATAGCAGCTGCATGAGCTCATTCGGGCGGCTTCACTCTAGATCGTGTTCTCATGCCGGCGTTCAGCACCGCCGCTATCAGGGACACGTTCGACGATATGGTTGATATCGCATCCCAGCTGATCCTCAAATGGGAGCGGTGAGTATGGCTTATGACAGCTCCTTCAGACGGCTTCAGCTGTTCTCCTTAGTTTTGGCTCCACCACCTCAATCGACTGTGCGGACGATTTCACTCGGCTTACTTTCGACACTATCGCACTGTGCTCCATGTCCTATAGGTAAGCTTTCCACAGACGTGTAACTGCCTTAGATACTTATGTGTCTCTAGGCTCAATTCTTTCTACCGGGTGCGTATCTGGATGCATTATGGTTAGATTGGGTCGTTCAATTCTCCGTGTGTATAGGAGGACAATCACCCGTTCATAAAGTCACTCTCCAGCTTCTTACTTGAATCCGGTCGTCGTTCTATGCGACCTTCTGTGGTGACGTCAGTCATGGGGTACACTGCACCTTACGAAGCTGATATCGAAGTCATGGCTGATCTCGCCAACAAAAGTAAGCACCACCTATACTTTATCCATCGTAGCTTCTATTGTTGAGAGTGCATTTTTGTACATAGTTGTTGCCGAGCGAAAGGTAACCCCATCTGATAAGAACGATCTCCTCAATAAGATGTTGAGCGGAAGGGACCCCAAAACAGGCAAAGGCCTTTCTGATGACTGCATCAAGAATAATGTCAGTTCTCGAAGTTACCTTACTGTGTACTGTACTGACTGAGAGGGAATGGTCTACTAGCTATTGACCTTCCTGATTGCTGGTGACTATATGTTTAAATTGTATTCGGTGTGTCTCTACTGACTACCTTTCCGCCTTCCAGGTCATGAGACTACATCTGGTGTGTAGCTGTAAATTTCACGTCTGTGCGATAGGTGTTTTCTTACCGGTTTCCTCTCACAGGTACTCTGTCGTTCCTGTTTTATCTACTTATCAAGAATCCCGAAGCATCACGCAAATTGAGGGCCGAAGTCGATGAGGTGCTCGGCGACCAGCCGATTCAACTGGGCGACCTCAGTCGTATGCCATACCTGATCGGTACGGCGAATTTGTTTTGTAAGACGTATTCTCCCGACCCATTTGGTATAACACAGCTTGCCTCCGCGAGTCCATGCGCCTGTTCCCTACGGCTCCCTCTAGAGCTGTTTTCCCCAAAGAAGACACTGTCATTGGGAACGGAAAATATGCAGTTTCAAAAGATACAACCATCAGAATTTTGTCAGGGCAAGCTATGCGCGATCCCAAGGTCTGGGGCGAGGATGTGAGTCTCACTATGGTGTTCCTAGCCTCTTCATCTATAGATGAGTATTTTTCATAGGCGGAGTTATTCCGTCCTGAGCGCATGCTCGACGGAAAATTCGAAGCGCTTCCTGTAGGTCCATCCTCACATTTTCCGCGCACGCACATTCTCACTATCAGCAGGCCAATGCATGGCAACCTTTCGGATACGGAATGCGGGGCTGTATTGTAAGCCAAATCTTCACTAACATTGCCTTAAGTCTACGCTAAAATCAGATGTTCTCAGGGTCGAGCATTCGCCTGGCAAGAGATGATCATAGTAATAGCAACTGTGATTCAGCGCTTCGACCTTGTGCTCGAGGACCCGTCGTATGAGCTCGAGATCAAGCAGACGCTCACCGTCAAGCCCAAGAATTTTTACGTCCACGCCGTCCCGCGCAAATCGCTCTCTGCGAGGTCCTTCGTGCCGAGCTCGGCCCTGCAGCAGGCCCGCCGCGGGCTCGAGCAGCCGAGCCGCACGCCGGTCGTTGTCGACCCGAATGTTAAATTGCAGCCATTGTATGTGCTCTACGGCTCGAATACGGGCACATCCGAGTCATTTGCGCAGAGAGTGGCAGGCGATGCGGCTGCTTATGGTATGATCCACCCTCGTGTGTTTGTGTTTGTGTTTGCATGTTGAGAGTGCATGCGCAGGGTTCCGTGCCTCCATCGGTGTCCTCGACTCCTTCACTGAACGCATGCCAAAGGATGGGCCTGTGGTCATCGTGACAGCGTCTTTTGAAGGCAAGCTCAGACATTTGTTCGCCATCCCTGTACCCTTCCTGATGTAATGATCTAATCAGGTGAACCTGCGGACAACGCAGCTCATTTCGTCGAGTGGATCAAAACCTTGAGCGGAGAAGAGTTTTCAGGCGTCAGCTTCGCCGTTTTTGGATGCGGGAACCGCGACTGGGTGAAGACGTATCAGCGAATCCCTACTCTGATTGATCAGACTATTGAACAACGTGGCGGCAAACGGCTGCTCGCACTTGGGACGGGAGATGCGAGCGCTGCAGAATTCTTCAAGGCTTTCGACGAATGGGAGGAACACTTATGGAAAATCTTGGCCAAGGTCTGCCGTCTTATTTTGTCTTACTTTTCTGATTGACTCATGCGACAATCAGGAGTATCAAACTGGTGCAGTCACCATCGGCAAAGACAAGGTCCAAGCGCTTACAATGCAGGTCGTCGACACCGGTGTCAACAGAGCTGAGATCTTGCGCCAGTCAGATGCTGTCTTGGGTACAGTAGTCGAGAACAAGGTGTTGACAGCACCAGGAGCCTCGGAGAACAGACACATTGGTATGTTGCCAGAATCTGCAGCAAATCTATATTTACATGCTGCGGCAGAATTCAAATTGCCCGAGGGTATGACCGCGCGTGCTGGGGATTATCTGGCTATGTAAGGTTTTCATCATATGAATTCTGCCCAACCTAACGACTCCTTAGCTTGCCCACAAACCCGGTCCGCGATGTGAATCGAGTCATCGCTCGATTTGGGTTGTCTGGGGATCAGCAGGCGAGTCGAATGGTCTCGCTCGAAATATATGACTAAACGTAGTGCAGGTTGTACTATCTGCTGTCGGTCCCACACCGCTACCAGTCGACAAGCCCATCACCGTGTTTGATCTCCTGTCCGGCTACGTCGAGCTCGCGCAACCTGCGACCACTCGCGACTTGCAGATACTCATGACAGCTGAGAATTCCCCTGTGGAAACTTTGCAGGCCCTCTCTTCGTCGTACTCCGAACAGGTCCTCTTGAAACGCCTCAGCGTCCTTGATATTATTGAAGACCACCCCAAAATTGCACTCCCCTTCGAGACCTATCTACAGATGCTCCCGTCCATGCGCATTAGGCAGTACTCTATCTCCTCCTCGCCGCTCTGGAACCCGCAGAACGTGACACTCACGGTGAGTGTGATCGACGCCCCCTCGAGCACTGGGAGGAGGATGTCCTTCCTCGGTGTCGGATCCACCTTCCTCGCCGGACTTCTGCCGGGACACAAGGTGCAGATGTCCGTCCGCACTTCGTCCACAGCCTTCCATCCCCCGTCTGATCCCACGGCTCCGATGGTGATGTTCGCAGCGGGCTCCGGTCTGGCGCCGATGCGTGGCTTCCTGCAAGAGCGCGCAGTGCAGAAGAAGGCCGGACGCGAAGTTGCTACATCGATCCTGTTCTTCGGGTGCCGCTCACCTCAGGAAGACTACATCTATGCAGACTCGGACCTCAAGGAGTGGACCGAACTGGGGATCGTCGATGTCAGGCCGGCATTCTCCAGGTCGTCGGGAGACTCGCTTGGCTGCAAATATGTGCAAGAGTGAGAAATCTATCGTGATATACTCCCAAACATTTAACACTCACGCTCGCGTCTGCAGTCGGGTCTGGCTCGACCGTGCAGATATTACCAAGGCCTATGCTGCCAATGCCAAGGTATGTTGCAAGAACGAATATCCTCGAGTTGTACGAATAATGTCTTCTTGAACAGTTCTATACCTGCGGCTCCCGCAGGGTTGCTCAAGGCATTATGGGTGTCCTGACTAAGATCGTCCAAGAGGGCCAGCAGGTGGAAGAAGCTAAAGCTGCGGAAATCTTGGAACGACTCGTTGAGGGTCGTTATGCTACTGATGTCTTCGAGTGAGGTGCATATACGTGTTGGGTTGTGTTGGATATCGAATTTCCGATGTACTAGTACATACTACTGAATCCTAATTGCTTGCAAATGGTGCAAGTCGTTCTGGCTTTGTTTTGTGCTGCCGCTGAGTATTTATTTTGGCTTGAATTCCGCGAGCGTTCGATGCGATACATATATGTCCACGGTATTTGTTGCTTTTTGTCGGTAGCTGACGCCTTTGTGAAATATCGGGGTGTCTGATAATAAGACCATCACCTTCGCTTGCGGCTCGCGTGCGCTGTGCATAGAAATCTTCGGCGTCTGCCGGGCCAACCCGAAGCGGCCCGGGATCTCAAGCGACCCGTCTCGGACTCATTCCTCGTCGTACTTCACGTTAACCAGCTTTTAACACAATCCGCCTGTGCTCCGACTGCATCTTCTCAACTGTCCATTCGGAAGTGGACTGTTATTGCCATCTACCGTCTCGCATGGGCTGCTGACTGACTACAAGCATGACCATCAAGCTGGAAGATGTCAGTGATGCTCTACTTCCGCGTCGGTACCAAGAGGAGATCTTTGCGCGAGCGCAGAGAGGCAATGTTATAGCTGCGCTAGACACCGGAAGTGGAAAGACCTATATCAGCACCCTGCTCATCAAATGGATTTCAGCGAGGCATATAGGTCTCAGGAAGATCATCGTATTTCTCGTCCCTAAGGTCGCTCTCGTCGATCAGCAGGGTGATTTCATCGCGAAACAAACACCTTTGCGGGTCATCAAATGCTGTGGTGCAACCGCGGTAGATCTCTCGGACAGGCAAGGTTGGAAGAAGGAGTTGGACCGTGCAGATGTTCTCGTGATGACTGGTATGCAATCCCCTACGTCCTGCGTACATGGCACTCATCTTGACCAGCGCAAATTTTTCTTAATTTGCTTACGCACTCACATTGGAGCCTCGACAAGGTGCATACCAGCATTTATATATATCTTAACCTATCTGACGTTCATGATTGGGAAATTCAGGTGTCTCTAATGGTTTTCGATGAATGCCACCACACACGGAAGAATCACGCGTACAATGGCATCATGCGTGAATACTTTCAGTGTCCTACTCAAGACCGTCCTAAGATATTTGGCATGACGGCTTCGCCCATCTGGAATCCCAAGGATGCCGTAGAGTCTCTGGCAACTTTAGAAAGGAATCTCGATGCCAAAGTCATTGCGGTCCGCCAGCATGTAGGAGAATTAATGGATCACTCCCCGAAACCTCAGGAGGTGCGTTGATTTATATTGCGATGAGCTTGAGCTGATAATTTTTCAGCTTCTACACGAATATCCCCCGCCTTTACAATCGTACCCTGTCTATCCAACTCCAACGCTCTGGGAGCGTATGAATTTACAACAGCTTCCGCCCAATATTGGCATACCCATCGACAAGATTCGGACTAGGTATGAAGTGACCTACGCCAGCCTTGGTCCTTTCGGAGCGGAATTGTACTTGTATAACGACATCAAGCAACGAATTACACAGATATTCCAACAGATCAGCGGAGTAGACATTGATTATCTCTCTGTCGGCTACGCCGATACAGCTGGCGGTGATTCGGTGGTTCCTAATTTACCGGACGTCGAGCTTCCGGCTGAACTGGAGGACCTTCAGGATGCCTTGGTCGAATATCGCTCCTTTTTCGAGGACGACAGTAACTCGAATTCCGTCCCGTTGACTGTCCATCTCAAATGGTGCTCGCCAAAAGTTCGCGAGTTGATCGATATTCTCTTTGGGCATTATACATCTACATTTCAAGGCATCGTCTTCGTCGAACAACGCCATGTGGCAGCTTGCCTGGCGACGATGCTATCCCGCGTCCCCCAGCTCAGTCACCTTATCAAGAGTGAACAACTGATCGGTCACGGTGCTAGCACTCTTGCAAAGTCGCAGATGAAGGGAATGGCTCTTAAGACGCAGCAGGACATTGTTAAAATGTTTCGTGAGCGTAAGATCAATCTTCGTGAGTGCTTTTCATATACTATCCAATTCACACTATTTAATGGGTTCAGTCATTGCAACCTCTGTGGCTGAGGAGGGTCTGGACTTTCCGGTGAGCATTACCCCCTGTCTATATACAATCTGCATCTGAAAATGAGACAGGCCTGCGACCTCGTAATCCGCTTCGACCCGCTGCAGCATATGGTGGGGTACTTGCAGTCTCGCGGACGCGCACGCCACAGAAGCTCAAAGTTCATAATCATGGTGCAGCAAGGACATACCGTCCACACGGCGCGGTATAAGTCGTTTTCCGAGAGTGAACCGCAGCTCCGCGTAGTCTACCAGCGTCGTGACATCGAGGCTCACTTCCCCGATGAGGAGGAAGAAGAGCAAGCCCATCCCGCAGACCTTGCCGAGAGAGAACGCTATGTCGTGCCTTCTACGGGAGCTATTCTCACATACAACAGCGCGATCGCGCTGCTTAATCACTTATGCTCGCTGATACCTCACGACAAGTTCACGCCGACTCATTTGCCTCGCTATACCGGAGACTTTTCCTCGACACTGCAGCTCCCCATGAGTCTTCCCTTACCTCAGGAAGATTTGACCTACGTTGGTCCAAATAGACGCTCGAAGAAAGAAGCCAAACGAGCCGTTGCGTTTGTCGCCGTGCAACGCCTACATCTCCTGGGCGTGTTTGACGACTATCTGCTGCCTGCACAAAGCAACGGTGCCTCTGGTGCTGACGCCGATGGCAGGGCCATTCAGGATGTTAGCAAGATCCCCGATATGATGAAAGTCGACGTTCGGGATCCTTGGACGACAGGCCAAACACTGTGGCTGGATATCGTCTACCTCGATGGCCTCCCGTGCGCCGGTCTCATCACGGGAACGTTGCTACCTTCCGTAGAGCTGGTCTGTCGAGGGACCTATGTATCTACGAGTGAGCGGTGCAAGATAACGTTCGACGAAGATGACGAATGGAAACAACGCCGAGTGCTGGAAGACTTTATGAGAATGGGGATATGGTGGTGCATCACTGGGAGAGGGATTACTCTTCCACTGACGTGCTACCTCGTTCCCATAACTCATACCTTACAAATAAATTTTGATGCCCTCGAACGGGCGGTCCAACATCCGTATGGTATCCCTTCCTGGGAGGGGATTGGTGAAGACGATTATCTCCAAACGCTTGTTATGTGCTCGAGAGAGCCTGGCCGGCCCTATCTCCTGCGGAAAATCCGCACAGACATCTCACCACTGTCAACCCCACCTCCAGGATCACGAGAGGCGGCATTCTCGACATACAAAGAATATTGGCAGGACAAGTTTAGCAGGAAGGGAACCACTTTCGAAGTTCCTGAAACAGGACCGTGCGTTGAACTGCAGCCATATCTCCGTCACACGTCTTGTGTGTATTCCCTGGATAACGGGGATGGTGCACAAGGGGCTCCCATGACTGTACCACTGGTTGTGTTGTTTCCCTTGAGCCTATGTCGAAGAGCGGAGATATCCGAAGATGTCTTCCGTGCATTCCACGTTTTACCCGAGTTGTGTCATCGCATCACCGATGTCTATCGTGCTCACACAGCGCGCATCGAATTGGGACTCCCGCCGATCGTCGACGACCTGCTCGTGCAGGCCCTCACGCTGCCTAGCGCAAATGCTGGATTCAATAACCAACGGCTGGAGACGCTGGGCGACTCTGTCCTCAAGCTAGCGACTGTTGTATACCTATTCAATAAATATCCTCATCGGCACGAGGGCCAGCTCGACGTGCTTCGTCGGAACTCTGTCTCGAACCGCACGCTGCTTGCGCGCGCCAAGGAAGTTGGACTTGAGCAATATCTGTCCAGCGAACCGCAGAGTGTGCGGCTGTGGAGATATACTGCGCTTCCCGATCGTGACCTCTTCGAGCCATATCGATATGTGCCACGGGTTTTCCCTCGTCGAAGCTTGCAGGACTGCATGGAGGCCCTACTTGGAGCGGCATTTGTTGCGGGTGGGATACCAATGGCACTTCGAGCGGGAACTGCACTCGGGTTGAGTTTCGGCGGCCCGCTGCCCTGGAACGCTCGCTATGGTGGCCAGATCGCGGAGAGTCCGGTGACAGTTTTGTTCACAGATCTACAGGACACGCTGGGGTATCGATTCCGCTGCGGTAAGCTGCTACTGGAAGCTGTCACCCACCCCTCCTTTGGCGCGGCCGAAACGTCCTCGTATCAGCGCCTGGAATTTCTCGGTGATGGTAAGTGAACGTTTGCCAAATCAGCACGATGTGATTCCTCATGTTCTGTAAACAGCCTTGATCGATCTCACAGTTATGCGATATCTGTACAACAAGTTTCCCGAAGCGACGTCCGGCCAACTCTCGTGGGCTCGATCGCGAGCAGTATGTGCTCCCGCGCTAGCTTCTGTGGCCGTGAAACGGCTTGGGCTGCAGAAACTTCTCCTTGTTAACAATGTCGAGCTGAGCATTGCCATGGGGAAATGCATCCCCATTCTCGAGAGCCTGTCGGAGGAAGAAATCATCCTCAGTGGTTGGAAGCAAGATCCTCCCAAGGCCATGAGCGATGTACTGGAGAGCGTTCTAGGAGCCGTATTTGTTGACTTGGATTTCAATTTCGAGAAAGCTTCCAGCATAGCAGAACAAGTCCTGAACGATTTGCTTGAGGTGCTCACCCCGGAGCTCCCTAGAGATCCAGTGTCGAACTTGATGGTCTGGGTTGCGCAGGCCGGATGTAGACGAGTTACTTATCGGTTCGTACTTATGTGCATAGTCCGAGATGTATTTCTACTGACGTCTTATCGCATTAAGGAAATCATCGAGCCGCCCAGATGTCAAACGGAACGACAGCATCTCAGTTGTCGTTCACGAACACACCCTCGTCGGCCCTCTTGTTGCCCCCAATCTATCTCTGGCAAAAGGACTTGCATCTGAACGTGCTCTCGCCATTCTCTCCAACCCTGAATCTCCACAGTCGATCGCTCATCTATGCACTTGCAACATCGCCGTCGAAAAAGAGATCGCTGCCGATCAAGTAGAATTAGCAGATGACGAGACGGAAGAGGGTTTTGCGGCGATCGCGCGACTCATGGCGGAGGAGCTTGAAGCCTGCGGAGAAACGGATCCCAACGTCAATAACGAGTCGCCTGGATGCCAGGATGAATATTTGTTGGACTCGCGCGAAGAGGAAGAGGTAGAGCAGATGATGCAGATTGATGATTATGATGAATCCTTGAATTCAACACCAGTGCAGGGTGAGAGGATGGATTTCTGCTGACAAGCTACCCTCAGTCTTATCTTCACAGGGCTCCCAAATATGGCATGCCATTGCCATAGTTGCACTGCAAATGTGCCTTCAACCCAGTATACATTCCTGGTTGTGTTCATTGGGTTGAGTCTGACTACGTGGGCTGGACTCAACCTTATGAATGCGGTTTGGATTCTATACCGGACTCAAGACATGTTTATGTTATAGCTGAACTTTTCCAGTTCAGTCAGCAGTGCTATGAAGGCAGCGGCCTGTCATATTTGGAATCCCTGTGACGATGCGGCTACCGGTGGCTTGCACAAGCGAACCAGCTTGCCAAGCTAGTGTATATGAAGTTTGACGGAGGTGTACTTCTACTATGTCTCACTACTATGATTGCGCAATTCACCTATTGGCTCAGAAAAATCCGGGCATTACGCAGCTTCACACTAGTAGGAAAACATCTCTCGTTTTGATGCTTCATGTTCGATCTGTCAGCCTATGTACTCACTATGTATGTAAGTCTCGCGAGACATGCAAAGAATTCCAATTGTCATAGTCAATTCGGATGATGCCGCAATTCACGACGTAGCAGAATTTGTAGTTAACGATTGCGGACAAAGATCAAGTACCATCGGGACTCCTCCGCACCTGTAATGCGGCATTGCTTGCGGTGGCGACGAACTCTGAGCATCGCCAAAATGCGAGAACGATTATCTACGCTGGTGGCACTTGAAAACTATGGGCATGAATAGATATACTCAGATCATATACCTATGGTCTAAGATCAATCCATGTCCCAAGCATATCTGAGCACCTTACTTTATAGAATACCTGTTTGGGTATATATATTTATTCTCGCACATTGCTGATTCGGACATCATCTCCAACAATATCTAGCGCCCCCTGCGTTATGGCTGCGCTCGCTGGCGTCGAATTCCTGAAGCAGTTGAGATCCATCTACCCATCTCACGGTGCTCTTACCCCTGCTGCCATATTGGCACAGCCATGGTACCTCGTCGCTGCTGTGGCCTTCAGCGCGAGCCGCAAACCAGAGGCAGTCCCAGCCGTCTTTGAATTGGCCCTAAACGAGCTGAAGCTAGTCCAAGGCGGAGAGCAGCCAGAGACGATCCAGGAGCAGCGGATGACTCTGGCAAACAAGATAAGGGAGGCGATCCTCCATTCCGGATTGCTGAGCGGATTTCCACGAGTACGTGGACAGCGACCACAGCTGTTTCGCTGGACCATACTTGCTCATGCGCGGACTAGACTATTGAGAGTTTGGTCGCTTTAAACAAAGTGATGCCGGAAGAGTTGCGGACCAAGACAGTTCAACGGTATGCGACCAAAGTCCCTGATCAAATTTGACTGACGAGTCGTTTGTGTCTCACAGCGACACAAAAAAGAGCTTGGATGAATATACGGAAAGCGGAGATAAGCTCTTCAGGTCCATGTATCGCAACACCGCCGATTCTGTGCGAGGGCTGTTATATTCCGCTTATCCCGATCTAGGTTAGTGGCTGCCCCACTGCTGCGTTGACTTCTGACTAGTGCTGTAATGTATCTTCACAGGATGGTTCTGTGATATAGTCGGATACGGAATTGTCTATGGCGGGACAAATGTCCTAACCCAAGTCGAAGTATCGTACACGATAGTGGCTGCGCTGATAGCTGTGGATGCACCGCGGCAGGTAACATGGCACCTTGCAAACGCACAAAATGGTGGAGCCACACTAGATGAAGCAAGGGCCGTCAGGGAGATCGCAATGAGGGTGGCAGAGAGGTCGGGCGTAACATGGAAGGACGCAGTACCCGAGGCCATACCGGCTCAGCAGCTAGAGTAGATGGTATCGATTATGATTGTGACCATGAAATCAAATGATATATCAGAGGGAACGGGCCCAGCCTGCGCATTCCAAACAGGGCTTGCAGAATCAAGCGATTAAATATGCTACACCGCACTAGCTACTCACAGCCGCACAACACTCCTGAATATGTATTGTGCCTACAACCCGCAATCCTGCCATAGCGAGTATGAACGGAGGAAGCCATTAGCTATGTTAGAAACCCGCGTTGCTGACGAGATCATATCCTGCACAATCATCTACTAGTTTCGATATCTGACAGTTCGAGTAGAAGAGACAAGGTAACCGTTCTGGGCAACTCTTTTATATCATTTTCGACGCTGCCTTATGTATCACATCGGGTCAAGTCACCCTCGATAATGACATTTGACGCTAGCAAGCTCCGACAGAATGATAGTTGGCGAAATCGCACGTTTGCAAGAACATTCGGAGAAGCCACGGACTGCCAGGTCACACAAGAAAACTGGCAAGAGGGCATAAACTTGAGCGAATAGAAGGGTAACGAGTTGTCATAAAATCTTTGACTGGACAGTGGACGCTCACAGTGGAGCCGACCGTGATGCTGCGCTTTATCTTCGCCGGAGACTCCGCTCGCGACGTGGCTCCTGCGACGCAGTCAACGTCAAAGGCAGTAGCAACGCAAGAGATTCGCAAAGAAAACAGGAGACCTCGAGAGGCGATACCAAAGATAAAGCAGCTTGTGGAGGGGAGCAAAGTACTATGAGTAACAAAGACTACCAAACCGACCTCTCGATGAAGATCACTGCATTCGAAGTCAGCTTGTCGAACTTACCGCTACACAGTCAATAACACACTAGAAGTAGAGGCTACCGAAAGCCTCATGACTCCTCAAGAGATTGTTCTTATGTCAACCTCCGGCAACAAAGTGGCGGCTTACAGAGCCGGTTGTTTGCCAAGGAGCCTCATCTTATCGCGTGAAGCGCCTGGTAGAGGATTGAACGGCGATGGAAGCCGAGGAGCAAACCTCTTGTCTATAAACAGGATTGCGAAGGCATTCCAGCTGGTCAAAGAACACCTGGGCAGGACGCTATCATATGCCCGCATTACAGACGCGCAAACTGGAGAAATCTTATTGAGCCACAAGCGTACCTACAATCCACCAAACGCTATCATGATATTAAGCTCAGCCCATATAAGCTTGTTGCGGTGGGCCAGGAGGAGGCATCATGGGTGGTACCATGCCAGGCATGCCTTGGGGCATGAATCCTGGAGGCGGCGGCGGCGGCGCAAAGCCGGGCGGCACGTTGTACATGGCCATGTTGGGCGGTGGAGGAGGCATGCCCATCGGCATCCCAGGTGGTGGCATCCCAGGCATGCCCATTTGCATCCCAGGTGGGCCAATGGTCTGTTGAGGCGCAAAACCAGGTGGAGGAGGAGGTTGCGCTGCCAGGACGCCAGCGAATTGGCCTTGATATGGGCCCTGGAAGCCAGGCATCGGGGGACGTGCCCCAAACGCTATGGGGGCAGGCGGAGGCCGTGCGGAGACTGGGAGCGCGTTGTTCTTGCGGGCCTGTGCAGCCAGAAGACGCTCTGCAGGTGTTCCATGGCGTTCGCCTTTACCGTCTTTCTTGAAGGCATACTGGACAGTGATGGCCTTGTTCATCAGGAACTGCCCATTCATAGACTCGATAGCGGCATCAGAGGATTCGAAATCAGTGAACGACACGAAACCATAGCCTTTTGACTTCCCGGATCCTGGGTCGCGAGCAATCTGTAATGGACGCCTTTAGAGTGGCACAAGGAGAGTCGGTAAATTGCCTGAGAATTACCTTCGCAGTAGTAGCCATGACACCAAATGCGCTAAACGTATCATACAAAAGTCTCTCGTCGACATTTTCGTCCAGATTTCCAATAAATAGGTTTGCACCGACATCCAGCTGCTTTTTGTCAGAAGATGCCTATGAAATTGGAGGATATAAGGCCACTCCACAGATTGAAAAGTTCCGAGAGCCTACCTTGTTAACTCTGATGGGTTTTCCCCATAGCTTGATTTGGTTCATAATTTTACAAGCATATTCCGCATCTTCCTCGGTCAAAAACTCACAGAAGCCGTATCCCTGATGGGCCATGGAGATGCGGTCTTTTGGAAGATGGACATTGACTGTGAACGACAGGATGAGACGAGACATGGCCAGCGCCAGTTGCTACAAATGCTCACCGACCGGGCCTGCCTGCAACATCAACTCCCAGACAAGTGCGTCTGAGCAGCGTTCATCGAGATTTCCCTGTGAATAAATTTATTACGAAGACTAGCGAGTACACGAGTTAGACGTACGAGATAAACCGTTGCTTCCTGGTTCCGGTCATCCTGAGGTCGAGACATGGTGGTGGTACGTGACGATGTCCACGAGATGAAAAAGTGTTTGTATCGATTTGGATCTAGTGGCGCAACAACGGTGCCGAAGAAAGAAGGAGCCTCAGCTTTGTGCCTCGCCTCGAGGATTCCGTGCTTGACCCGGTCGGTTTATCGCCACAATGTGCTTGGAAGATCCTCGAGAGATATTCTGCAGGGCCCTCATGGTTTGAAACACAACTCCGCGATATGAGAAGCTCTCCAGGTGTGCCTCGTCTTTGTCCTGTCCGTTTCAGACGCTGTCTATGGCTTGGGGGCCGGCTGGCCAAGACTCATCACCAGTATCACATATGACTTGATGCCAGATGGGCAGATACGGCGGGTCCGTTGCCCCTCGGGAATCGACGCTACTGGAAGCCTAGGGATTTTAGGCGCATGATTATTCGGACACGTAAGTACTAGCACATGCAAGGCGTTCAGATAACCGTCCCGGGTTGTAAATCGGCCTCGTCAGCTATGAGCCATCGGCCGGTGCAAAACATTCCTTTCTTACTAGGCAGGAACAACGCGCCGAATGCGCATACGACACGCCCTCGCCATGCCGCCTTCCATGCAAAGAATCCCGATCTCCCGCCTTGACAGGCTCCAGCCAATTAATTGGAGACGTCATGCAAAAAACAGCTTGACCAGCGCTGCATTTGCTTTGATATCGCAGTTCGGCTCGGCACGGCCACCCACTAAGGTTCCAGCGGCCACAACTCACCGCGTTCATAAAGGCACTTGCGCGCTGACTTGAAGATCGAGACGCCTGAGGAACTCTTTGTCCCCTCCCATTGCAACTGCGGCTCCAGACATGCGGGCACGCTTCATCCTCCTGATCTTCACCGTCATTGGCCTTGTTCTCGCCGTGGCCGCTGCTCCCGCTTCCGGTGGGGGGAAGGTGGGCAAGAAAGCTCTCAAACAGTACCAGATGAAGCGCAGGGATGCGACGACACCTGCCGCGGTGGATTGGAAGAAGCCCAAGCCATCCAAGTGAGCATTGTACCTCTCGCGCATATTCGGTATATCCTTATATAAATTCATAGGATCTGGTGGGATACTATTCCCACTGCTATTACAAACGACGTACATGCAGCCTGGTCAGTTCTCGGATGATCTCTTGGAATCAGTTTCATTTGACTAAGCCTGCATAGATTGGTGTGCGTCCTCTGGTCATTGAGACTCCTTTAGAGACAATTTTTATATATCTAACGGCGGTGCTGGACAATTACCTACGATTTGGTCTACGAAAGCACGACTTACGTACCTTATAGACTTTGCGCCGATGCAGCTGCTCCATTATGTGTAAAAGCACCGCCACGACCGTGTACTCCTGATTAGACGTCTGCGGATGTTGTTTGAACGACATCTACAACGGGCAATGAACAACTCACTTTCGTGTGTCGCTCCAGAGTGTTCACATCTCAATTGGGTGATAATATATATGTCTGATCTCGATCAATTTGGGAAATTTCGACCAATCTACCACGGCCTTGACTCTGACCCGGCTTTAAGCTCAAGTATGTCCCTCATTCTGTCGACTTGGCTTGGGCCCAGAATTGTCCTGTACAAGGACCATGAACGCTTTGAATCCCCGTTTGTGCCACAAACGCTGTCGCTAGCAGTGACAGCGCACGGGCATATTCGGGATCTTGCCTCTACCTTCCTGCCAGCGCAGAGCCCTACTAGAGTACGTATACCCTCAAGTGTGCATGTAAAGTCCGCAGGCAGATAGTCCGACTAGTACCATGGCGTATATGTTGGGGTCGTGTAGACTCAAGCTGGGGGATCATGCCGCCGCGCGCGGACTCAGTTACTAACAACTGAAGTAGGGCCTCAGTCACTCAGCGAGATCATGCTAACGTTAACTTGAACCGCTTTCCCGAGATAAGATCTTCTTCGCGGGTAAGTCATGCCGTAAATACACCTCCCATATCGGCTCAACTCTTTCCCAGTCTGGTTCATCTGTGATCTCGTTGTCGTTGCTGGCAGGTGGCCGGCGCATGCACGTTGTCTATCTCAATGCCATAGAATTCGGCACGGTTGACTATGGAGTGAGTTCCCAATGACTTCAATGACGCTGCAGCTGCGTGCATGTTGTGGCAAACGTACTTGCCCAGTACGTGACCAGTATGGCTCGATGTTCTGGCTCTGGGCCCGAAAGCCCAACACTTTGCGGGACATCATTGCTGCCTTCGATGCAGGGATTGTGCGCACGTCTTCATTGAGCTGAATAATATTTCTTCCGTAGGTGACTGCTACGTAGGGCACTACGGGACACAACAAAGAATTGACTGTTTTCTTGTGACAGAAAGGTGGCAAGGAAAGGCAAGGAAAGGGGCTTTCCCAGTGCCATAAGCCTTTCTTCCCGTGCAGAATGCGCCTTCCCCTACCGGAGAAGTAGTCATTTCTTTGTTGTGGCAATCATACGCACCAATCGCGAGCGTTTTTAAGTCTGGATCCAACATTAATGCCGTCCTGCATTATCAAAATAACCCATTCCATTACGCAGGAACCTCGACTCTGCCTTACAGTAAAACAACTCACACTCGTAGAAATGGTGAGGCTGTTGTTTAACACACTACGAAACCACGCCTCCCTCCACCTATGTCCATAATCCGGTCATCTGGGCTACTCCAGGACAAACATCATAGCGCGCTTGAAACTCCCTCCCTCATCGACTATACCCCTTCTCCAAAATCGAACAGACACGAAGCAACCAGACACGAAGTAGATAAGTTACGAAGAATCAGAACGAAATGTAAAGCTGTAGGGTCGTGGCGCAAGAACGAAAGGTGCGCGGTAACGTCGTGATGGTGACCGTGCCAATGGTGAAACTGTCGAGTGCGGCGTTCAGCACGATGACAGAACGGCCCAATGCGCATGTCACTTACCAGAATGTCACACTGTTCACGAGATGACGCAGCTTGTGTTGCTGCCACCGCTACCAGTGTCGTAGTCGGAGGGGATGTGTTCGCCGGTTTCTTCGGCGGGAATGGGGGAGGCAAGAGCGAAGAGGGCGTCCATGTCAGAGAGTGATCACGAACACCGGGGATGAGGATGCACAGCTGAGTGTCACTTCACGAGTGGCTGTCTCGCTGACGGTGTTGTCGTCACTCAGTACTTTATATACGGCGAGGTCGAGTTTCCCTCATGCGCAGAACAAAAAGACACATCTGCGATCTTGCCATCACGTCCACATGTTCTCTCTGTCAATGTTCGGAGGGTGGCCGAATGTGCAAACGACTTCGAGCATGTGTCTTCATTTCCCTTCATAAGCTTCTTGTTATTGTTTTGTGAGCGGGCAATATCTCAGCGGATAGTCAAGAAGACTGGTTAGCGTCGGTGGCTATCTACGTCTTGACGCCAAGTGAGAGATGTCAACCCTATTAAAAAACATTCTATCAACTCTTGTTCGTTACCGTCGCTACGTCCGATTGCTGTGTCTCCTTCTGAAGCAGTTCTGGCATCTTGCTTCCTGACTCTTGAGTATTGACTAGCTGCACCTCTCTCTCAAGTATCGAATGAAGCTATCCTTGTGGGCGTTCTCGTAACACGAGTTGTGCATTGATCCGCGCCACCGTAAGTGGGAATCGATTCCGGACCGCTCATTGTGAGTGCATGGCATTAGGGAACGTGCAGTGGATATGGCTTGGAGCTAGCGTCTCTTCTGGCGCGTACTCTAACGCCATGGACCCTCATAACCGAGGCCAGCTTATTGTGTGCCACCGTAATTCCACCACGAGGAGTGGAGCCGTGTCAAGTTTCGAATGCCGATGCCTCCGCCACGACTCGGGGTTGTGCACACGACCATACCTTGCGCCTCCCGTCTACATAGAGCTCCTGTTCAGGACAATAAAAAGATTGAAAGAAAAGAAGAATTTTGATGCTTGGATTGCATCCACCGTGCCTTCGATTCGTTTGCGAGGTCGAAAAATAACCGCTAGTATACGCGCGGTGCTATTCGCTTACTATTCGCGAGGCATGCGCACACGTGTGGGCAAAGAGGCTGAGTTGCAACGGACATGTGCTGTCAAGTTGCTGGAATATGATTGTTCGTGTGGCGGTGGCTCTACTTGCGTGACTCTCGGATCAATCACGATCGATTATCGTCACACCGGGCCGGGCTTCCCATCTGACCAAACATTTCCTGTCCTGGAAGACTGCGACAGACAATCGAACGAACAACGCCATGGATTCTCCCTCACACAACATCTTCGAGGGTACATCGTCATTAGATATTTCTAGGAAAACACCACTAAGCTCCTATCAACACTGTAACAACCTAAAGAGTAAGTACTGTACCACGGCGGTGACACGATGCCGTGACCCGTCACACCCTAGCGCTTCGATAATCAATTTAGCGGGACAAACAACCCGGTGTTTGAAACAACAGCAGCAACCGCAACATGTAAACAGATAAGCAGCGAACACCTGCCTGTCGAATGGATAACTTCCATCGTGGGCGACCAAGTGCGTTCCAGTGCAAACATACCGATGCATTACTTTGAGCTCAGCAGAAACCAGGCCTGCTAAGGTCCCAGCTGGCCAAGAGCGCTCGATGACTCAGAATCGTGGTTCAAAAGCGTAAGACTACGGAAAAATCGCCCGGTTTCGGTTTTTTTTTTTTTT